TGAAAATTATTCAAAGAGGACGGCGACCCTGGCAAGCAATTCATTTGTTACTTCACTTCTTAGTTCCCTTCCTCATCCTCCCATGCACAAACCCTATCAACCTTAATCATCCTCTCCTTGCACACTCACCGGGGGCACCGTCGAGAGAAATCATCAGCCGTTCGCTCGACTGGAGTGAGCAAAATCCCTAACGTGAAGGTTACGAAGTTTACCCTCCTACCACCACGTCCTCGCTGCTGCTGCTGCTGCTGCTCCTCGTTCCTCCTCCTCCTCCTCCTCCTCCTCCTCCTCCTCCTCCTCCTCCTCCTCCTCCTCCTCCTCCTCCTCGTCATCCTTCTCTCCCTCCTTGCCCTCCTCCTTGTCCTCCTCCTCCTCCTTTTCCTCCTTCTCTCAATGCACGACCGTCCTTCCCTTGCTTCTCTTCCTCACCCTCAAGTTTCAGTCTCAACAATGGCTTTTCCACGGTAGTCCCATGCGCGGGACTGATGATTTCAACATGAGGCGAAGACGGCGAAGTGTTGGTCGTTGACGAGGAGGAGGAGGAAGGGGAGGATGGGGATGCAACTTTTCCATCGCCCTCTATCAATGGCTTCCCAAACACTTGAAATTCGTTGAGCACTTGCAAAGAAACAATCATGTCAATGCAGACCTTCTATCATCATTATCACCATCACCACCATCACCATCACCATCACCATCACCATCACCATCACCATCACCATCACCATCACCAGCACTAGCACCATCGTCGTCGTCGTCGTCGTCGTCGTCGTCGTCGTCGTCATCATCATCATCATCATCAGCAGCAGCAGCAGCAGCAGCAGAAGCAGAAGCAGCAAACGACATCATCTTCATCTTCATCTTCATCATCACGATCTCCAGCATGATTCAGTCTTACCAGCATTCTTCGTAACACTATCAGCGTCAAGCACAGTAAGGCAGACGGCGTCAGCGAGTATCTCGGGGAAGAGAATCTGAGGAGAAGTGAGAGGAGGAGAGGAGAAGAGACGAGCTACTTCGATCTCCTTGGCCCCGTCCGTCACCTTCACCTCGTTCCTCTCGATCCTCAACTGCCATCAGTCAGCTCGCGTCCTCAACCGTCTCCCTCACCGCTCCCTCCTGCCTGCCGCTCTCCATCCCCTCCAACGGCTTCCACCAGGCCTCGTTCAGCACCTCCCGCCCTCCCTCCTTCGCGCATCTCCATCCCGCTCCTGAAGCCTCACAGGGGCCTAGAAGAGCTCGCAGCAGCTTCCTGCGGGATAACCTGCTTCCTTCAATCATCCCTTCCTCCTGCTGCTGCATTCCTCCTCCTCTGCAATCCGCCACCCCCCTCTCCCTCTCCCTCTCCCTCTCCCTCTCCCTCTCCCTCCCTCTCCCCTCTCCCTCTCCCTCTCCCTCTCCCTCTCCCTCTCCCCTCTCCCTCTCCCTCCCTCCCTCCCTCCCCTCTTCCCTCTCCCTCCCCCATCTCCCTTCCCCTTTTCCCTCCCCCTCCTCCTCGCTTACCTCCTCTCGCTTCCGTTTCCCTCCTGCCATGATCGCACGTGAAGCAGGCGGGGGATGATGGTGGACCACCTAACCACCCCACCCCCTCGCTCCAAGTTCATTTCTCTAGGTTAAAAAGATGGTACCACCACCCCCTCCAATTGGACCTTCTTCCTGTCCCTCATGCTGTTTCCGCCTAACAAATCCTGCTCCTGCTCCTGCTCCTGCTCCTGCTCCTGCTCCTGCTCCTGCTCCTGCTCCTGCTCCTGCTCCTGCTCCTGCTCCTGCTCCTGCTCCTGCTCCTGCTCCTGCTCCTGCTCCTGCTCCTGCTCCTGCTCCTGCTCCTGCTCCTGCTCCTGCTCCTGCCCACTGTCTCCTGCTCATTTCCCCCTGCCCACTGTCTCAGCCAACCCCTTCGCACCCCTCTTCTCCTTACTTTTAAATGATACTGTTTCTGTTCATTCTTCACTCTTCTGAGACCTGAACGAGTGATGGACAGGATGTCAGCAGACGAAGGCCCGGCGCTCAAAAAGGTGAGTTTGACCGCGATACGGAAGTTCTCTTGACATGGTTGACAGATTAAGTCCGAAGGCGCAAAGGGCGTTGTCATGGACAGCAAACAAGTCGAGCAAGTAAAACTCCATCCTCCACTCCTCCACCAACCTTGTCCCCCTCCTCTCTCTTCTCTCTCTCCCTCTCCTCCTATACCCACCATATCGTCTCTAATCATCCTGTCCGCACTGCCTCCTCTCCTCCTCTCCTCGTCTCCTCGTCTCCTCGTCTCCTCGTCTCCTCGTCTCCTCCTCGTCTCCTCCTCGTCTCCTCGTCGTCTCCTCGTCTCTCCTCGTCTCTCCTCCTCTCCTCCTCGTCTCCTCCTCTCTCCTCGTCTCCTCCTCTCTCCTCCTCTCTCCTCCTCTCTCCTCCTCTCTCCTCCTCTCTCCTCCTCTCTCTTCCTCTCTTTTTCGCCCTCTGGCTTTTCTTCCCTTCTTGCTCGTTCTGATCACAGTCTCACCTTCGCAGATCTTACTCAACGA